ACTGTTGTTTGGTTGAATGAATGGTTGGTTGGTTTGTTGAATGGTTGGTTGAATGAATGGTTGGTTGAATTATTGGTTGGTTGAACTGTTGTTTGGTTGAATGAATGGTTGGTTGGTTTGTTGAATGGTTGGTTGAATGAATGGTTGGTTGGTTGAATTGTTGGTTGGTTGAAATGTTGGTTGGTTGAATGGTTGGTTGAATTGTTTATCCTTTTGACAGGATCCAGCTTCATGCAGCTGAACTGTTTTGTTGTTCTGTTGCATTTTTCAGAGGATGCTTTTATTTACCGGAGCCCAGAAGAAGAGGACTACCACAGATCCGGGACCCCCGACTCCGAGGGTCCAGATGGGACCTACAGCAGCGAGGAGAGCAGCTCTGCTCTTCCCAGTAACGGTGACAGAGAGCTGGGTCAGCACAGCCTCTCTGACCCCAGCAGAGACTCAAAGAGCCCCAGCTCAGGAGGCCCCCCCGCTCAGGTCGCTCAGACCAATGCAGGACAGGGAAGCAAGCCCAAGAGGAAACGCTCCGGCTCAGACTCCAAGTCTGGGAAGCCCCGCAGAGCTCGAACTGCCTTCACCTACGAGCAGCTGGTGGCGCTGGAAAACAAATTCAAGTCCACGCGCTACCTGTCGGTGTGTGAGCGCCTCAACCTGGCGCTGTCCCTCTCCCTCACCGAGACCCAGGTCAAGATCTGGTTCCAGAACCGGCGGACCAAGTGGAAGAAGCAGAACCCAGGAGCTGACACCTCGGCCCCCACCGCAGGAGGAGCGGGGGCTGGCGGAGGAGGATCAGGAGGGGGCCTGGGCAGCCTGAGTCCTCTGAGCCCCTCCCCTCCGGTCAGCAGCCACCTGGCCATGCACGCCGGCTACGCCGGCCACCACCACCCCCCCGCAGGGAGCCTGGTGCAGCTGCCTTTCCTCACAGCCAGCCACGTCCTGTCGCCGTTCATGCTGGGGACCCAGAGCTACGCTGCGCCCGCCTTCTACAGCACACACCTGTAGGCGGCCTCCTTCCTGCCCCCATGTGAAGGATTATTTTGATAGACTGAACTTGAACCTGTACATACACCTGTGTTGTAGCTCCTCCCACCTCCTCTGAATGCTGTTTTAGTTGATTTCATGTCTGTACAAAACCTGAATGTTCCTTTCAGACGTAATGAATGGCTTGATCTACTGTCAGTACTGCTGTAACTCCTCCTGTGATGGTCCTCCTCTTCCTCATTTAGGATATTTGTTCCAGTTGCCATGGAAACCCGGGATGACGCTGTCCTTTGGTATTAAAGACGAATCATTAAGCCTGTGGACTTTTTCTGCTCCGTGTCACAGAGGGTTCTGGTAGCGGCCCGTATGATCGATGAGTCGGCAGCTGAACATTTTAACATTGTTTGTTTTTATTTATTTATTGTACATTAATTATTTCTTTTCATCTGTTGATCCTGAACGGATCTAAAGACTGTCTTCCTAAAAACAACAGTAAGAATTTTACAGTGAACAATACAAATATAAAAAGAAATAAAATGAATATAACTCTTGATGCTTGTTTGCAAACAGTGTTGAAGTTTGCTAGAATACAGATTTACGGTTAAATAAAATAAAACATTAAAATGAACAGAACTAAACTACATAGACAGCACACACCAGCGGCAGCAGGAGGACTCCTCTGTTTCTCCTGATCTTTAGAAACCGACCGAGGGGAGGAGGTGACAGCCATGGAGGATTTTAGAAAAACAGACAGAGGTTTGAATAGCGGAAGACGTTTTCCCAGCTTATCCTTTCTAGATTTCTAGATCTAACTTCAAAGCAAGTTTCTACTCTTTAAAAGTGGTGGGGGGGGGGGGGGGGGGGGTGGCATCTGCATCCATCATGGCCGACCTCAGTAAACCACAGTTCTAGTTCATGAATTCATTCAATCCAGTTTATTGAGCTCAGAGTCATGTGACTGGATGAGCCTTTAGGGCGGAGCCTAAACAGGAAGTGTTCTGTCCTCCTCAGGGCCTCCTGTCAGAGGAGCTTCATTCAGTTCCTGATGGGACGGTCCAGCTGACTGGTTCTGTTCATGTCCCATCCTGGGTGCTCCTCCTCTGCTCCTTATGCCGGTTGTGGAGGAGCTGGATGGAGGTCAGTTGAGGGCGTAGTTGAACTGGTTGGAGAACTTGTCGTGTTTCCTCCTGTCCGCCTTACTCAGCACATCCGCTACTCTGCGCATGGTGCTCCTGCAGAGAGGAGAGCACAGCTGGTCAGCAGAGCGGAGTGGAGAACAGAGGAGGAGCAGAGCTCCTGCTGCTTCATACGTACTTGTTGAAGACCTTCCTCTGCAGCCTGGAGCGCGCCGTGTTGCTGCTCTGCTTCAGGTCGCTCAGGTTGGGGAACTTCTTCTTCTTCTTCTTCCCTCTGCGGTTCCGAGAGGAGCCCAGGTCCTCCCCGGTGGCTGCCTCGATGTCCCGCATCAGCTCCTCATCACGCCAGTCTGCAACAGAACAGAGGCAGCATGCAGCGTCACAACATCCAGCTGCTCTATTTACAGCTGCATCTATCTCACATAGCTCTAGCAGGACGGTTTCTATGGAAACAACCGGGACCCGAACTACACCAGAGGTCTGGCCCGACACTACTGAACCGGTTCTTAGAGTTCCTTCGGTTCCGGTCTGTTTGTGAAGCGTCTCTGCTTTGGAGCTGAGCCCAGCAGCAGACGCTCATTTGGACTTGGTTCTGCTTTGAGCAGACGGCGGCGGACTCATTTGGACCCGGTTCTACTCAGAGCAGATGGCGGCGGACTCATTTGGACCCGGTTCTGCTCAGAGCTGGTACCGGGACAGAAACAGCTGGACCTTCATCCGGGCCTCAGGTTCTGCTCTCAGAAGCTGGTTAGATCAGGATCCTGCTGACCTCTGACCTTCAGCTTCTCTCCTCCTGAATTCAGGCTGCAGCTGTCACCCCGCCCCCACCTGCTGCTGTCTGTCACCATGGAGCTCCTCCTCCTCTGAGCGGGTCGGCGCCGGGCACCAGCTGCCTTCTGCACAGTCTAAAGCTCCAGAACCAGAACCTGGACCGAACTGACCCGTTTGGAGGTTGGGGTCCAAATGACTCTTCAGGTACTGAGATCTTCTGGTTCTGGTTCTGACCAGTTTACTGGAGGATTTCCAGTATCACATCCCATTAGCTACTCAACCAGTGAGGTTCTAGTCTGAAGCGCTCCCAGTGAACAGAACCAGATAACGGTTCTGCTGGATCTCCTCACCAGGCTGCTGCTCCTTCCTCCTCTGCTCCTCCCTCTGCCGGTCCTCCTCTCTGCACGGTCGTCCCTCTGAGTCTCGGGGGACGATGGGGCCGTGGAACGGGCACTGGGGGGAGGCAGACAGAGTCGGGTCAGAACTTTCCCCTATGGTGAGGGTTCTACAGGGCGGTTCTGGTACCTTGAGGCGGTCCTGTCTCTGGCACAGGGCGCCGTTCCCCAGCGGGGCTCTGCAGAAATGGCTGACGGGGACGAACTTCCCGGGGAAGGAGATATAGCGGCTCCTGCTCTGAGCCAGCAGCTCCTGGCTCTCCACCTCCTCCTCCACCTCCGCAGGAACCCAGAACTGATGCTGGGAGGCCGACCTGGACACAGACAGCGAGATGAACTTTGACCTGCAGGCTGTGGGTATGGGTGGAGGTCTATCATTCAACACCCATTTAGGGAAGGACAGAGACGCCTGTCCCAGTCATGGACCGTCCTTAATGGACATCCTGTTCAGACATAAGGAGGTCCATCCGTCCACCAGGACACCCTAGACCAGACCTTCTGACCTTCAGCCGCATGTTTTAGACCCTCGGGTGGAGAGAGGGACTCCTTGAACCCCAGTCAGCCTCAGCAGATGGCCGCTCACACTGAGCCTGGTTCTGCTGGAGGTTTCTTCCTGTTCAAAGGGAGTTTT